ACTACGTGTATTCAATCATCCGCCGCTATATACCAACTTAAACTAGTGTTTTGAACAAAGCGTTGCCTGGTATCAAGGTTTATCGAAGCCATGTTTTTAAGCGTCTGTTCGCTTGGCGAGTCTTCTACAAAGCATGTCCAATCAGTTTAGTATTCCTCCAGGATTAACTAGTCTTTTAGAGGGATTCGTTGTTAAATGTATACAGGAAAATCCTGAAGATTTGGTAGAATTTGCAGCYGATTATTTCACGATGTTCAAGAGAAGAAAAGACAAGAATCAAGCGAGCAAGGCCGAAAAGAAAGCCGCCGAAAACGAAGTCAAAGATGATTTACCAAGTTGTGATGCACCGAAGCCTACAACTGGAAGACAGAGAAGGCAAGCAGTATCGGCCGATGCCTATGACCCAAACAARGAAAGCGATGTTAAAACAGTCCATTATCCGAAAACCGAAGAACAGTTGAAGCGTTTGAAAGAAGCAGTAAAAAATATTCTGCTCTTCAAAGCATGTGAAGTTGAACAGTTACAAGAAGTGCTGAATGCTATGTTTGAAAAGCGAGTCAAGCCCGAAGAGATGATCATAAAACAAGGAGACGACGGTGATAATTTTTACGTTGTCGACAGCGGCGAATACGATGTATTCATTGACCAACCCMAAGGGCCCCCTAAAAAGGTCTTTACCTACCAGAATGCAGGCAGCTTTGGCGAGCTAGCTCTGCTATATAACTGTCCAAGGAATGCTACGATCATTGCCAAGACCGAGGGAATCGTATGGGCTCTAGACCAGTCGACGTTTAGGCGAATTGTGGCCGGTGCAGCCATGAGGAAACGCGAAAAATACATAAATCTTCTTAAGAAAGTCGACATGCTCGAAAATCTTAAATCCGAAGAACTCGAAAATCTCGCTGATGCTTTAGAGCAGAGTGTGTTTGAAGATGGCGAGTGTATTATCAAGGAGAAAGATGAAGCTGATTGTATGTATTTTATCGAAGAGGGCAGAGTTCGCGTGGCTGTCTCCGATGGCAAGACCGAAAAAGAGATCTCCATCTTGTCAAAAGGAGGGATCTTTGGTGAGTTGGCTCTAGTCATGAAACAGACTCGATCGGCTTCAGTTTATTCAAAAGGCAAATGTAAATGTGCTCGCTTAACAGTCGACGCATTTGAACGTCTTCTGGGTCCKTGTATGGACATTATGAAAAGAAACGCATCGCATTACGAAGAACAGAGGAAGAAACTAGGCCTCGAATAAGATATGAATAAATCAAGCAGGTCGACCAGAGCTGTTTAGCGATGAATCGATGCTTCAAGGAACACCTGCTACCGGTAATGAAAAAACAGCATTCAAGACTTTTCCTCTTTAATAATTCTGCTTAGGAACTTCTATTTCAATATGCTGTCTTGTTTCAGAAAGAAAAAGAATATTTAAATTTAATAGGAGTTTTTTTTTTTGGTCGTAGTTTGTAGCTTATTCAATATCTAGTGATTTGACTTTTCACTGACGAGTTCTTTTACAGTATTGTAAATTATCTCAGGTTTTATTGGTTGTAGCTAGTATTCCTTAATGAACCATACAACTCTCACAAGGCGTAATTTTTTGAAATTTTACATGTAAAAACCCGCCATTCCATATGTTAAATCTCAAAGAGCGCGGTCGTACCTTGAGGGAAAGTGGTCAATTATTTCCATAGAATTTAGCGAATTAGCAAAGACTAGGTGTAATTCTTTCAGCATTATATTCGTAGTTCAACAATAAAGATTAAAAAACAGCTTTCTTTGAAAGCTCCAAAAAAAGTCAGCTTTTTTTCTTATTTTTCTTTTCAATTCATTACATTTCATTTCTTGTCTCAAAACCATGAAAACCTAAAGTGGGATCTTGTGGTTAGGTTTGGGTTTTTTTTGTTATGAATCAAAAAGTGAATTTGTAATTCAAACAATAGACATTAGTATTCAGCTTCTGCTGAGAACCTCGTTACGCGATTGGTTGATGGCTCTTAAATTGATTACAAGCAGCAGGTTGTGTTGTAACACTGGCGAAAAAATACTGAATTCTAATGAGTGATAGTCGCCACCTATTGGTTCGTTTGGTCAATATTAATACTGAACCTTAACATCTTTAACTCGACAAAATCTCGGCCACAATTTGAGGTTAAATATCTTACAAGAACAGATAAACAAATTTGTCAAAAAAAAACACTTAGATGTTTTCTCGTATTAGATGTTTTTTTCTCTAAATCGCATCATAATTACAAAGCTGTAGTAGACATGCAACTTGGTTTTAAAATACTTCATTCGCAATATTCTATTCCGCCCACGCTTTTCTATTTACTTAAGATCATATTCTTAAAATCTTTGGAAAATTAGCCTAAAGTAAACCCGAAAAGATCCTACACAATTTGGTTATCATGACGAAAATAGCGGCTTACGGCAGCAGTGACGATAGTGATGACGAAGCTTGGATTGTCTTGCGCAATATTAGGAAGTAATGATGCTTGATGCTTTCAGAGTGTTAGATGYATGGCGTGGTTGCGTGGTAAAGTCCGGCAGTCAGGCGGCTGTCTCGAATGATGATGAATATAGAATACAAGTGACAGCCAGGGAGGAGAAAAATATAACTCTACATATGCATAATTCAACACTTTATCACTAATAAGACGACTGTTTAAAATGCATCAGTTTTGGCTGTTGATCAGTTCGGTGAAACCCAACTAGTAATGTAATACTGCACACTGATGAGCGAATGAATCGGATCTTAATTATTTGATCATGTAAAAAAATGAGAAAAAATGGAAGTGAAAAAATGAATATAAGTCGGGGAAATAAAGGCAAACGAGAAAGGAAAACATGGGAAAGAGAAAAAGGAAGGAAGGAAGGAAAAATAAATGAACTGAAAGAAAATAAGAGTAAAAACAAAGAAAGAAACTGAAAGAAACCAATAACATGAGTTCCATTTTCAATTGCAGTATATTTCAATTCTCAACCACAATCTTGATATTTTTTTCAAAGAATTATTTATGTGTCGAAACAAACGAACATATTTATATTTGTTGATGTCCGTCGATTTTTCTCCGTATTCAGTTCTAAATTAAAAGACCAATTTCACTTTACTCGTTCCACTTATCTCCAGTTATCGTTAAAATATGTGACTTCATAAAGCAGCTTAAATCTTCAAGTATCCGAATGAAAACCAAATCAATCCGACCTGTCTTGCTGAATGCAAATAAAGACTAGATATATCGACAAGACTGGCAGTTCAAGCTGGCCAATGGTATGGCTCACTGTCAGCTTGTCGACTTTCTTGTCAACTCTCTTCTTCGTTGTTGTTCAGTAGTAGAAACCTCATAGCCGATTTATTCTATTAATTTTCTAAAGAAAAAACTCTTCGTTGGTCGTTTTTCTATCTGTATGTTAAGTTGACAGCAGTAAGCAATCATCTTCTAGGATCTTTTATTGACTCACGCCAAATAAYACCACCAATAATTCATTTAGACAAAAGTCTCCGAACATAATGAAAAAAATCTTGTTTCAATTGTTCAGCGTCCTATAGCAGACGATTCGATAGCTTACTAGYTTCACGTCTTAAGGATTAAAGTGGATTAGAAAATACGTAGTTTGACTTAAGTGTCCATTGGCAAGAGACGATTGATTGTCGGATSGATGAAGGTTCGCGAACTTCGGTTTCTAGGCAACGGCCATGATTCTATCAAAAACACATCACCCACTAATGCAACTTCAATTTCTCGTTACTCGCTTAATATTTTGTGAAATATAACTTTTGCCTAAGTATTTTAGGGCTTTTAAGTCACTTCCCTTCTGCTATTCTATACTAATATTCCATGGACTTTTTTATATTAATTTAATTTAATTGTAAAAATAGTAAAAAGGCATTTTGATTGGTCCTTTTCTTTCCTATAAGTTCGGCTTTGTTTGAGTTTCATCTATCTTCTCAAGCGTGTACTGTAGATAAAGAAGATAAACTCAAGGGTGTAAACTAGGGAAACATCACGCCCAAAAGTGAAATGATATTAGTCTTGATTAATCACATTCTAGTAATTTATAATAGAGTGTACATGTATATAGTCTGGTCCTTATGATATGTTGCATGACCAGCATGGTATAGGGACTAAAAGTCAGTAGTATAACTATAGACCCCACGCATTGATTTCCTAGAGGAATTGTTCTGGGGGACAAAACAATAGGCCGTCTTTTCTTATGCAAAAGGAAAAAAAATCCATTGTTTTGTTCCCCTGTACAATTCCTCTCGGGAATTGCAAGGGGCCTATGTCCACGTGGATAGGATGCTAGTCCATCATATGTTAGGGTTACGTTACTAGATTTCTGTACAGTTGAAAGCATTGGTATCCATAGATAGACATGTTGGTGCAGCATTAAAATACGAATATATAGTATAAATTATGTACTTAATCACTTAACTGCCTGCATTRGTCTCTGGGAAGCTTTGGGTGTTGTGATGAAATCCTTTTGGTCAAAACACACTCTAGGGCGCTGCCTTTTACATTATATCCCATTTAGGTCACTCGCTCAGTGTTGAGCATTTTAGACCRCTMTAAATAAATACAAGTTTACAAATAAACTAAATTAATAAATTAATAAATGTTTGACATTTCACTTTTAAATGCAGCCAGTGAGGTGGCTAGTYATCGCTACATACGAGTTTGTGAGAAGTACTGTGTCAATGCAACAAATGAACTGCACCAATGATTACAACCAATTTACCATCAAATAATCAGATTACGAAAGCTTTCATAGTTATTTTCACTCATTTTAGCTTTAGTTTTTGGTTATCTTCACCAAATTTGATGACAAAATAGATCGCGGTTGATAGAACTGTGACCAATGATGCTTTTTAATGATCAATGAATGGTAAATGTCCGAGAAAACGAGAACTATAATATTATTCGTGCCATGGAAAACATCTGGAATGCTTTTCTTTTTGCGATGCGCGTAAGATTTATTAATAGAAAAGACAATTGCGGTGATGAGGAAGTTTTTTTTTTCTTTTTTTCTTTTTTTCTTTCTTTTTTTTCTGCTTTAAAATTAATGAGGAGAAGACAAATCATGGACATCTCCAGGATATCAGTAAACATCTGCAAGACGCATGGATCACGTTTTGCCAAAAGGGCGTATTTGAATTTCTTCTGAGTACGAATAAGTTTATTTTTAAGACTGGTAGGAATCTGTAGGACTCAAGACCATTGCCAGCAAACAATTTTCCTGCACGTATTCATACAGGACACAGTTCAGAGTTTGGAAATTGCTGACGAACATCATCTGATTTTTGTGCTTAAGTTTCTCTCTTTGAATGTTTTTCTTTCTTTCAAAGAGATGTTAAGTTTGAAGTGTGTTGGAGTGTTGCTTGTTTTAGGGATCCTCTTCCTTGGGGGATGTCAAGCAGCCATTTCAAGGAATATCGTAATAGGTAAGTTGTCGTTTGTCTCGTCCAAAGACACTGATTAACCTATTTATCAAMTGAATTCATAACACCAGTTTTTAAATCCTAAAAATCGTGATTTCAGCCACACGTACTTGAAGTATGTAAGTGTTTTGACACTTATAAAATCAAAGCTTTGCGTTGTAGAGACTTATAAGTCKAGACACTACTCAAAAGAAACTACTGAAAGCCAGCATCCTTTAGTAGGATTGAAATCTTGATATAGCTGAAAAGAAAGCTTCATCATGACATCGACTAAAAATCTCTCTCAAAAAAGAGACCCATCTGGTCAGAGGCCAAGAGCAACTAGAAACGCACCACTAGCACACGTCCTTTTCTCTCCCTTGTATTAGGAGTTTGCGATCTGGTAAAAAAACCTGGCATTTTCATACGATGGCTTTTTTTTTTGTTTTGTTTTGTTTAGTAAGTTTGCTAGAGATGCGGTTATGTTGACGCATGGCTCATGAAATCGGATGCATAAAATGGCGCGTATATATAAAATGTATAAATGTCCCCTTGCATGGTAATAATGTTTTTCCATTTCAGACCACGTGTCATTCTTTTGAGAATAAGATTCTTTGTTCGAGTTAACGTTGTATCTATTTTTGTGTCTTCTCATGCGCAACCGTTAAACAAAGAAATGATACTCTAGGGAATGAGACATGGTCTGGATTGGGAAAACATTACGCCCAAGATTGAGGTCACTTCAATCATTTTTTTCTTTTTGTGCAGGTGTGATTTATAGCAATGATTATGAAAGCCTTGTCAATACACTACAGTATCTGATAAACTATGAAATCAATGGGAACASCAAACTACTGCCTGAAGCTTATCGCTTCAAAACTGTAATGGTGCACAGCAAAGGAAAAAACCTTCTTTCGAGAGGTGAGTTTGGGTGTGTCGAGTACAATGAGTGCAAGCTTTTTTACTCCGACTCAGAACCATCGTCATAATTGTCAGTTTACAGTTCTAAATTTTTGAAAGAGTTTTTGAACTTCAAAAGCTTCCTTCTCATTTACAATCTATTGTGTGGTTTGTTTTATCGATTTGTCAAAAAAGGATGTCGGAGATGAGAGATGAAAGATAGTTTATTCCGAGATAAAATAAAAAGGTCATGCATCTTTTTAGTGAAATACAACAAACAGCAATACAAGAGTACCAAAAAATATGACTATTGGCTGGCACCTACACTGTTAAGCATTTCTATACATATACACCTATTTCAGAAATCGTTGTCGCACCAAAAGCCTCAAGCAACAAGCCAAGACTGCAGAGAACGCCGGTACTTTTAGCCTTAATTAGTTTATTCATGTTGCATTTTCATTTATTGACTTCACAAATTGCTCCAAGCAAGGCTGCTTGAGATGATAATTAGTGTAGAGCTATAGCCACTTGCATGAACCATGAATAAATGAATTATAATTAAAAGTACCGACGTTCTCTGGAGCCTTGGCTTGTTACTTGAGGCTCTTGGTGTGACAACGATCTTCGAAATAGGTGTATGTATATGAGCCAAAGCGGCATATATCGGGCATATATCTAAGCACGACAACAAACAGCACTGAATATCTAAACAGCCATGTTCTTGACAAATGTTACATACATACATACATACATACATACATAAACTTTATTTAACCTCGAATTTCAGAGTAGCTTACAAAGCTAATATCTTCGAGAAAAAAAAAAGGGAAAGAAAAAAAAAAAAGAAAAGGGCTATTGAATAATGATTATAAAATTATTATATAATGGTAATTAATATTTAAATATGTACACTATATACGCTAGTTTGCAGAATCAGTTCAATTTCAATGTTGATGAGTAGTTACTCGAAAGAGTCATACTTTAGTATATTACGACGGAAGTCCAAAAAGTTTGAGGTTCTAAAAGTATCCGGCAGTGCATTCCATAAAGTAGCAGCTAAATAAGAAAAAGAGTGAAGGCCATATGTAGTTGTTTTAGGTTTAGGGAGAGACAGAATGTAGTTACCGCGTAAATTATAGGAAGTAGACCGGAAGTAGACCGGTTTTCACACATTGTTTTTCAGAAGTAGCAGCAAAACTCTCCAGAGCAGTTTGTATCTTCGACTTGTATTCCAATGACCCAGATGCATATGCACTGAGTGACATGTTGAAGATACCGCTGATCATGGCTGACAATCTAAACGATGATCTACACAACAAATACGTGTTGTCGATGCGACCACACTACTCGGTCATTAGCCAAGCTCTTTATGACGTGGCCATGTACTTTAAATATGATGAGGTAGCCATAGTATATGATGGTAAGTAATAGGTCACGTGTCTATTTCCATAGCAACTAAATCAGCCTCATTGAGACACGAAGTTCAGGGAGAAGAGGATTTCATGTGACCCCTTAAATCTTTTAAAAAGGAATACAACAAACTCGATTAGTATGACTTGCGAATCCTTGTCAATGTTAAAAGTTCTGCGCGACCAAAAGTGTGCAAATGAATACCCTATTTCTCATGTTTCATCTTGTTCTCAGAGCGTAAGACTCGCCTGGCTTCTCATTTTTACGCCAAAGCTCGTACTGAAGACAGATTTAACGTTCAGTTGATACCAGAACTAGACCTCAAAGATCCCAAGAAAACTGCCTCGTCACTCCAGATACTGCAGAACACTTACATCAAAAATGTTATCTTGATATGTGATCAGAAAAACATGGCAGATATCATGAATCAGGTGAAGACTGTTCAAAGCTGCAACACATGAAGGGAGGTGTTGGTTATAAATCATGTCAGTTTGGCCATTTCTCATTTTATAGTACACTCAACAAAATTACTCGACTCTGATTGGTCGAGAGGAGTACAATTATAGCGTTAATTGTACTCCGTAGGAGTACCGAATTAAGTCGCTATG